ATAAGCAAATCATACTAAATTGTACGAATTAGATCATACGAATTCATACGAATTAGCCACTAAATGAAAAAGTTACGAATTGCCGTGAGATTGTGTTGAGGTCTCCAGCATCAATTTATATAGCACTTCATCTCGGATAACCTGACTGGAGGTCTTGCAAATTAGGCCACAAAGTAAATTAACATTCCTTCAAATGATCTTTGGTCTAACCTACTTATAAACAGTCCTTGAGCAAAATTTCATACAGAGGAGCAAGATGGCAATAAGTTCCACTAATGTTCAATGGGCCGGCCATTTCGTGAAATGCAGTACAGTAAACTCACAATGTCCAGGCTAGCTGCTGAATTAATAATTGGTCAAGCTGCTGGATTTTGGGAATGACTGACAATTCCGTAACATATGGCAGGTGTGACAAAATCCAATGAGATCCAAATGTAGCTTTTAGTCCAGAGAACACTCAAGGTCAAAACACCAATGCAATATCAGAGGCAAGACAACAGAATAAGCAAAGATGAAGGTCAAGTGACAAATAAAAAACAGAAATAGAGTTCAATGTTAAAGCAATCAGCAACAACAGGGACCAAAAAAAAACACAGCTAAACAGACACGATGGCTGTTTCTCAATTTTGAGAAAGCAGAGAACGGACTTGCATCCTTGTGGAGATTTGTCTTGCCAAGTTACCTCGGAGGAATGAAAATGAGATGCTGTGTTCTTCCTGATGGTTATACATTTTCTGGTAACACTTTACAATAAAGTTCATTAGTTAATGCATTTACTAACATGAACTAATCATGAACAACACATGTACAGCATTTATTAATCATAAGTAAACATTTACTAATGCATTGTTAACATTTAAGTCCATGCTTGGTAATAATGCACTATGAGTTAACATGAACTAACAATGAACAACTGTATTTTCATTAACTAATATATATTAACATGAATAATTACTGTAGTAAATGTAATGTTCATTGTTTGTTCATGTTAGTAAATGCATTAACTAACATTAACTAATGAACACTATTGTGAAGTGTGACCCATTTTGTAAAGAGAAAATTATTTAAACACAACTGCGTTATTCTGTTCTTGTGGTCTTGAGATTTTTAACTGAACTTTTGTGTTTGATCATGACGTTATACAAGAAGACAAGGACGCAAGATCGCTTAAAAACACGTATTGAGAAACAGTTAATAACCTGCAAAGTGTGTGCGTTTGTGTGTGTGTGTGTGTGTTTGTGTGTGTGTGTGTGTGTGTGTGTGTGTGTGTGTGTGTGTGTGTGTCTGTGTGTGTGTGTGTGTGTGTGTGTGTGTGTGTGTGTGTGTGTGTGTGTGTGTCTGTGTCTGTGTGTATCCTCTGGGTGGGCAACAGGTGACAACAGATAATGAGTTTCTAAGCACATTATTCTGGGAAATGGAGTTCAAAGTGGTGACAGCACTAAAGGAGCCCATATGCACTCTCATGATAAAACCTGGTACATTAATGCATCGGTTTAGATTGCTTTCTGACCTCACGTTAACTTCACCAAAGTTTAGTAAGTAAGTAATGTGTATTTATATATAGCGTATGTATTGTGTATGGCCCTAAAGCCAAAGTGCTTCACAATCATGAGGGGGTCTCTCCACAACACCACCTGTGTGCAGCATTTACTATGATGATGCAATGGCAGCCACAGGACAATGGCACCTGTGCGCTCACCACACACCAGCTATAGGGGGAGTGGAGAGACAGTGATACAGTCAATTTGGTCGATGTGGATGATTGAGAGCCCATAATGGGTAAAGGCCGATGGAGGTAATTTGGACAGGACACTGTGGTTACAACCCTACTCTTTACGAGATGTGCCATGAGATTTTTAATGACCACAGAGAGTCAGGACCTCGGTTTAACGTCTTATCCGAAAGACGGCGCTCACTGACAGTATGGTGTCCCCTTCACTTTACTGGGGCATTAGAACTCACACAGATCACAGATTGAGTGCCCTCTGCTAGCCTCCCACTAAAGACTTCTAAGAGCAACCTAGACTTCCCATATTCAGGTACTAACCATACTCATCCCTGCTTTAGCTTCAGTAAGTCACCAATCTTGGGCTGCAGGGTGATATGGCTGTGGTTTGATTATCAGCATGTCAAGAGATCCTTATTTGGGAAATCTCAGACTGATTGTTCACATATGCATGAACAAACCAATGTAAAGCCCTGCTTACATGGATCACATGGACCATTTAGTCAGCTGCAATGTTTGTAATGACTGAACTTGCGACCTTAGATGGCTAACGATGGTTTTCGGAAACGCACAGCAGTCTAATGTTATGACAACTGAGATCTTACAATGTAACATGGAAATAATGTTTGTGCAGTCTGACATGTTACAATGTTTTGGGATTATTAAAAATTGCAGTCTGATTTGGGCTTAAGGGAGAAAACCAACCCAGACACATTCTGATTATGTACCCCTATATCCATTTCTGGAGAGCGCCAAATACATCCCAGGAGCTACAATTTTTGCAGTTTTAAGTTTTTGTTTTTTTGATTTGAGGCCACTAGAGGCCTCAAATCTCAAATTTCTCTTGCGTGTACCATTTGCACCTGCTCTTCTCACGTAAATCCACTAGAGGCCGCCGACTGGCTGACTGACTAACCAATCAACTGACCCAACCTTCTTTTTCCCTAAACCCAACCAATAGTGCTTTCAAAAGTACAGATTGACCATCAACCACCCACTTTCCTAAACCCAACCAACAGTGTTTTCTAATGCAATCCAGAAAAAGAATAGCCCTTGCAGCAGCCTGATTTTTACCACGTTTTCTGATTTTACCACATTCTCACCTTGTTACTTGTTTATTTTATTTTTTGGCTTTTGTCTTACGTGTGTTATGGTATGTTCCTCACCGGACTCCAATCCAGTCATCGCATTCAACTCTGCTTCACGAGTCTGCCAACGTACATCACAACCTGCTGGATAAACTGGTAACAGCAGAAAAGTCGTCCATATGGATGAAATGCAGCCATACGTTCCTCTGGCTACATAATTTACAATCTCCAGAAATGTATATAGGGGTATGTTTTCAGAATGAGCCTATGTAGGAGAAAACAAACCATGTTTACGCACCATAAGTGGCCGATCCCACCGAACTCGCTTTTTGGGTTGAGAGGCACCTTTTTTGAATGATTTACTAAGGACAGTGAGCATTATGTGCACTGCTTATGCAGACAAAAAAAATCTCCATGTGCTCGCAGTTAAAAAAAGTCAACTCTGAGCAGAAAAAGCATGTTACGTCTGTCACGTCTTTTTGATTGTCCAATCAAATGAAAGCAGAGGAGGTTTAGGGACCTGCAGTGTTTGTGTTGTCAAGAAAACTTCAGAAACTTTTGAAGATGGATGAGAGTCTTGTGGTTGCTGTTTGAAGTTATCCGGAGCAATCGTGCACAATACTTAGCTGATTCAGTCATTGCCTAGCGACATAAAAAACACATCATGCTTTTTTTTTTCTTGTCAACAAAAAAGGCAGTGTGGTGCGCCTCACATTTTTGGAATGTAATAGCCTGTTTGGTGTGATCGGCCCCTAATGCTGCATTCACACCTGATGCGGAAGAGTCAAGTGCGAGTGATTTACATGTTAAGTCAATGCAAAGACACGAATAGACACCTGTGGCGTGAGACGAGCGAATAAGGCAGCACGAATGACACGATTCGCGCAATGGAATGGCTCAAGTTCGAAAACCTGAACTTCAGCTGACATTTGCACCACGATAACCAATCAGGAGCTTGGTTTTGTGGGGGCGTCTTTATGACGTAGCGCCTGTTGTTGGTGTCCTGGGGGAAAATCCTCCTGCCAACATCGACAACAGTTCATCAAACTGGTCTCGGCTTAGTCGGAAGCACCGCTGAAAGCTGCCATCATCCAGGTTAAGTTTATGAGCTCACAGAGCTGGGTGCACCTCTGAAAGGATCTAGCGGGCTCTGACACTGCTCCAAGCAAATCGATGAAGCACATAAACGCAACTATTCTCTTAATAAGATCCATGTTAGCCATTTAGCAATGAAGCTACAGTCACCGGGCAGGCAGAAGCCCTGCCCATCCCACAAATCAGTGTCTTTTGCTCAGTGAATTTTCGATCGATTTACGAGAATCGAGTTACGCAAGAATTGTGCGATTTATCCATGTGTACTGCGTCTGGTGTGAACACAGCATAAGAGAGTAGAAATTTAGAGATTCAGGATTCTAAAACCAACCATTTCATACACTGCGGAAAAAAAGAGATGCTCCTAAGAAGATTTTAAGAAAATTAAATAGTTTTTGAGCATGGATTTTTTATTATTTTTTTATTATACATATTTTCTTAGAAATAGTTAAAATATATAAGGATAAGAGCACTTTAACTATACATATGTAACATATTAATTATAATAATATAACAATAAAAACATGTCATTTCAAGGTCAAGTCATATTTATGCTAGTTAAAGCAAGTGGACAGACCTAAAGAAGATGCTGATCTAAGTTGGCAGAGTGCAGGCAGAGATGAGCAGCACACACATGGATGCACTCATACTGACATCACTCACACACACACCTACTTGTATATATGATTTATGAGGACTCTCCATAGGCGTAATGTATTTTATGCCGCTAAAACCACTTATTATATGGTTTTGCCCTACCCCTACATCTAAACCAAACACTCACAGGAAACCTGTAGCAAATATTGAGTATCAATAGATCCCATTAAATGTGATTTTTAAATGTTTTGAATTACAAAGACAGGGATTGTCCTTGTGAACCAGCATAATAGAGTACAACTAGGTCAAACCAATGTCATTATACATTTGTGTATACCATATAAACACGATTTTTCTTGTAAACCACATAAACGCACACACACACATGCAGTCAGTTCTCTCCATCCAGCATCTATTGGCTGCAGCAGAGAAAGAGCGAGCGAGTGAATCTGGGAGGGGCCGCGCGATGAAAAATGAGAGAGAGAGGGAGAAGGAGACTGAGAGAGAGGCCAGCAGCAGTGCACTAAATGAGGGAGGGGTGCATGAAGAGCACACAGCGAGAGGCAGATTTAATACAGGGAGAGGGGGACTCCAGACTGGATGGGCCCAGCGGTGCCTTGATGGAGCATGGGTCAGGTTTTAGGGTTCTCCCACTGCAGTGAGTCCAGCCTTTATTTCCTCACGCCTCTCTGTATATGGCTGTCGTGTTGATGCTTTGTGTCTGATGCTTGATCTGGGTTGTGTGTTGCTCCAGCTCTCATTCATTCACTTGTCTGTTTTGCTGATGTTGCAGTGTGTACTCGCTCTGAGCTCGTGTGTGCTGCATCTGCATGACTCTTGTGTTGTGAGCTAATGTATTTTGTGTGATATGTGTTTGCTGTTAGCAATCGTTTGCTGTGGTTTGGTGTAACAGTTGTCTAATTTGTGCTACTGTGTGTGAGTGTAAACACTGAATACTGCTGATTACAGCAGATTATATCAAGGTTACAACAAATGTAATACTGTACGACTTAATAGATTGTAAGATCTATTGCTTTCCATATGTCTGAAGGATGTTGTTGAATTTATTCTGTGTATTTAACTATTTAGATTGGGTGTAATTTTAGTAAAACATATACACAATATTATGATTCAATTATAAAAAGAAAAAGGGTTGACAAATCACAAAAAACAAAAGAATTAAAGTAAATTAACATGTGCTACATGGCTTAATATTGCTTTTTTTGAAGGGTTTTGCCAATATTCACTCTCACAAAAGGTTCTTTATCAGCATAGCTGCTTTCATAAAATAAATATTAACACACATTGGACATTTTGTACACATAAATCTGTTCACTTAAACCAACAATAACTCTTCTTTGAGATCCCTAGAAAAAAACAAATAAATAAAAAATAAATAAAAGAAAAAAATACAAAATGATATCTTGCCATGCTTAATGGTTTTTTTAACACAGGATATGCAACATAGCAATTAATACTAATATATTAAACTAGCATTAAATACATTTTCTATAGCCTACAACAAAAATTCTAATCTCATAATTATATTTTAGCAAAGCAAAGGAGATTTCTCAATTAAAGATCTAAAGGTCTGTCTATTGGTTTGTATCAGTCATCCCAATGTGAAATGGAGGCTCTGAGTTTATTATCTCAGGTCTTTTTTATGGACGGACCTCCATAATATTCAAATAGACATGAGCTGGCTGAGGCACTGTACAGTTTATTCTTAGCAGGAACTGTTTGATCGACATGAAACAATTCGTTTTAATTAGTATAGCAGATGTGTTTCAAAGTATGGATTTAAATCAGATTATATACACTGTAAACCCTAATGTTATATTTACTTAAATAATTAAGTAAAGTTGACTGAAAATAACTTAAAAATTTAGCATTTTGGTTATATCACTTAAAAAGTGAGTTGATTTAACTTATGTACCATGAAAATGCATAAACTCAAGATTTCAAGTGTAGTGAGCTCAAAATATAATCAAATAGTCTTGACTGTAAAATTCTAATATGTGCAACCTTTTAGGTACAAGGTCTTTTTTAAATCAGAAAACAAATGGCCTCAGGTATAGTTATTCATAATAATGTAAATAAATGGCTACTTATTCTTTGTTAAATATTATTTAAACATTATTTAAAAAAATTTCATAGTATATTTTTACGCATGTACACACATGAAAAAGTTGACTGAATTAAATTAATTGAGTAAACTCGTTGCCTCAATTTATTTGAGAATTGGAATCTCCCAAAACTCAGAACTAAGTTTGGTGAACTGAACAATTTAAGTATGGTCTACAAAACCAGCAAGTTACATAAATATGTTAAATATGCAAGTTTTGGGAGACACCATTACTCAAATAAATTGAAGCAACAAGTTTACTCAATTAATTTAATTCAGTCAACAATTTCACGTGTGTGTATGTGTGTGTGTGTGTGTGTGTGTGTGTGTGTGTGTAATAATATACTATGAAAACATTTTAAAATATTTTTTTTACAAAAATAATAGCCTTTTATTCACATTATGATGAATAATTATAATGTAATTAAATATAATTAAATTGAGGCAATGAGTTTACTCAATTAATTTTGTTCAGTAAGCTTATTAGGGTTTCAGTGTATTCCCATTTAAGCCAGATGGCATCTTTAGTTGTCGAAGTTTATAGTTGCCACTTTTATTTTAAAGTTTGTTTGTTTTTTTTTTACATGTTATCCATGTCTAATTTCTCAATGGCATGCAAGCAAACAACCAAAAAAATAATGTCAGTAAAGAAAATAAGAAATTGATTTACTTCCTGTCACATGGAGCTTTTAACTTCCTAATTCCAGGATGCAAAATGGGGGCAAACCTTCCCAAATAAAGGCAATTTTCATGTTGATGGTTTTGTTTTGTATATATATATATATATATATATATATATATATATATATATATATATATATATATATATATATATATATATATATATATATATATATATCAACATAAACATGCAGGTCTCTAGATTCAACCAAACAAAACATATTTTTCAAGAGATAAATAAGCAAGGTAGGCAAAATACTTTGTAAGTACATAAATAATGGTTAATTGGGAAATAATATGTTATTAAGTTAATAAGTCAAGGTTATTGGGCTTGTTTAATGTTTATTTATTTATTTTTTATGTATTTTTTATTTTTTATTTTTATTTTTTTTGCTCTCATAATACTCTATTTAAAAATAATTGATATCTTTACTTCAAAGTAAACACACAAAACCGTGAGAGTAAAATAAACCTCTTAAGCCTGATTTATACTTCTGCGTCAAACACCGGCGTATGCTACGGCGCTGACGCATAGCCCTTCGCCGTGGCCATCGCCGTCACTGACGTGCACCTCTCAAAAAATGTAACTACACGTCGCAACGACGCGTAGCATAAGCTCTGTGATTGGTCGGCTTGGTAGCGCTGACGAGTCTGGGCGGGACCGAGAGGCGCGCGAATGGCGCGACGCCGCGCGAGCGATTGTTTACAAGTGTGGAGTCCCGTGAAGGAGCTCCGGATGGAAAGTTTTGTTATGTGTTTACCTCATAGTTAAAGTTGTTGCACGTCCGCCGGTTCCTGCCTCAAAATGAGCGAGTTTGAGCCACTTGTACATCCCGGAAGTGTTCAGGAAATGCAAAAAAGTAGCGAAGAAACTTGACACAGAGGAACATTTACACCTCACTGCCAACTAGCGTTTCGGAAGTGTTAATGCAGACCGGCAGAGACAGCGCGCAGAAGTATAAATGCACAGCCACGCGCGTTGCCTGCGCCGTGGGTTACGCCGGTCTTTTGACGCAGAAGTATAAATCAGGCTTTACTGTTCCCTCTCCAACAAAGATTTAAAAGAACACAGAGAATAATGAACTCCTGCTGTGAAAACACAACACAAAACTACAACCAAATGCAGTCACAACCTTAAGCTCAGCTGTCCAGACAGACATGGGTATTGTCTAAATCGTTGCTTTTTCTACATGGTTTGGCTGTTCGTCCACACACACACACACACACACACACACACGCACACACACACAAACACACACACACACGTATATGATTATACTTGATTTCAAACTTGATTTGATTTATGCTCTCCTCATCCACCACCAGTGTGCAGCATCCACCTGGATGACGCGACGGCAGCCATTTTGCGCCAGACCACACACCATCTGATTGGTGGAGATGAGACAAAGTGATGAAGCCAATTATGATATGGGGATGTAAGGAGGCCATGATGGACAGAGGCCAGTGGGGAAATTTGGCCAGGATGCCGGAATAAAACCCCTACTCTTTTTCAAAGGACATCCTGAGGTTTTTAATGACCAAAGAGAGTCAAGACCCCGGTTTAATATCTCATCCGAAAGACAGTGCTCACTGAGCAGTATAGAGTTCCCATCACTATAGTTGGGCATTAGGACCCACACGGACCACAGGTTGGGCACCCCCTGCTGGCCTCACTAACACCACTTCCGGCAGCAACCTCGCTTTCCCATGTGGTCTCCCATCCAGGTACTGACTGGGCGCAGCCCTGCTTAGCTGCAGTGGGTGACCATGCGAGAGTTGCAGAGAGCTAGGTTCTGGCTTTTAGTAACATGGACATTGCCCTTAATTGGGAGGGTTTGCTTTGCATCCTGAAATTAGTAGGAAGTTGAAAGCCTCACATGACAGGAAGTAAATGAGCTCCTTTTTATTTCCTGAAATCTTTTGTTTGATTGTTTTTCTTGCATGTCATTGAGAAATTACACATGTATAACATGTAGAAATTTACTCATAAAAGGAAAATAACAGCTACTGTATGAACTTTGGCAACTATACAGTAGTTGCCAGTGAGTGGGCTTAAGTGGGTCAATGCAAGAATATGTTGTATTGCTTGATTCAGAGAGAAAGAAAATGTGAGCTAATTGTGTTCTGCTGCTAGATTGGAGCAGTTGTTGTCTACCGATTCCTTGTATTTGGTGCTGTGGCTCTCTGTCTAACACAGGGGTGTCCAAACTCAGTCCTGGAGGGCCAGTGTTCTGAAGAGTTTAGCTATAACCCTAATCAAACACCCCTGAACTAACTTATTAAGCTCTTCCTAGATATACTAGAAACTTCCTGACAGGTGTGTCGGAGCAAGTTAGAGCTGAAGTCAGCAGAACACCAGCCCTCCAGGACTGAGTTTGGACACCCCTGGTCTAATATGTAACACCCAAAACAGAGTTAAACTAAAATATATCAAAATCTAATTCTCAATCAGTAATATTCATTGATTTGAGCTTATTTTGACAATTTTAAAGGTAATTTGGGCAATGTAATTTTTTTCTTTTGATTTTCGAACAGTTATATCTCAGCCAAATAGTGTGTAGTCTTAACAAACAACAATGGAAAAATTATTTAGTCAGCTGATGATGTATAATACTCACTTTCCAAAAATCGACCCTTTTTACTGGTTTTGTTGTCCAAGGTGAGATATCTTAGTACCTTGACTGAAACCTTTTTCTTAATTAGATGACAAGTGATTCTTTAATATTGAGTCTCATAAATGCTTTTTTGCTTTCAGAGGAATTTGGCACAGTGAACTCAACACCTGACTCCACTCCTCCTTGCTCAGATGGTAATATTTTCAAATACAGTATTTTTAAAGGTCATGCCTTGATATCCACATTTATTATAGCACAGTCATAAACACACACCCTGTTCACTCAGGTGGAAATGAGGAGTCTGACTTCCCCGAGCTGCAGACGGCCCGAGAATGGTCAGACGAGGATGATGAAGGCCTGGAGGATGACGATGCATGTCTCAGCAGCTCATCTGTATGGGGGACGCCACGTCAGAACTCATTTGAGCTCACCTTCTCCTACATTGCCTTCTCAGAGAGCGATGGCACATCACGGAGAGACTCAGGGCGGCGCAGGACTGGGCCGAGGAGCGGCCGCGGGTCACTGCACCGCACGGATACTCTGGAGACACAGCCACCTCCAGACTCGCCCGCTGTCGAGTGGGACCCTCATGCCTTCTTGACTCTAGACGGGGAGGGAGACGTGGAGGAGGAGAGCCAGATGTGGACTGTAGAGACACAGAGTCTGGAGACGCTTCAGGATAAAGACACAGGGACTTGGGACACAGCGGAGAAGATCTCAGGCATCCAAAGTTACAACTTAACATGCAGTCATCAAGAAGAGCAAATAACAGGTGCTCTTTAAATTACCGCCATATTTGCATGTGTGCAGGTTAGATTAGGTTATATTTGTTCAAAATAGACAATGACTTGCTTTTAAGGATAGATTTCTGATGGGAAGAGTTTGATTGTGACATGGAAGTTAATTCAAAACATTAGCAATGTGGCAATCATTTTATATATATGAGCAAAATCATAAGGGTACTGTCCCATCAGTGATGATATACAGCCATATCGCACTGCTATGAGTGTTATACTGCATTTATACAACACTTCAACAACATAATTGTGTATATAAAAAAGAAAAATCAAACATGGAGAGTCTCAAAATCTGCAGCTGACGTCAGAAAGGCAAAAACTTACTAATTTACCAATGTCACTTTAGAGCTAGTATTTGAATGATTCTCTTGCGTAATATCTAAAGTGATGACAAAACAAGATTTTGCTCACATTTTAAGATTATAAGGCTGAATGGCATGAAATGCCAACACTCTAGAGACATTTCCCAGTATTTCTCTGTTGCAATCGGGATATCACAGTATATCACCGCGAAAAAGCCAAAGCAAACACTACCAGAATTCTATGGTATAAATACAGCACTACAACATGCAAAAGAGAGACCAACTTAGAAAGTCACTTACCAATTTTTATTGATTTGATCAGCTGTGGTTTGAAATTATGCCGAGTTCTTCTCCTCTAAGAGCTTATTATGCGGTTTCTGTCGCCATCTTGTGGCGGAGCGTCAACAGTCTTTGCTCTGCTCAGTATGACGGACTGATGGATGCTGACGTGCTGAATCGGCAAAATTATAAATATGTAAAATAGGAACTATCCTTATAAATAAACTGTAATCTAAATAACTACATCTCAACTAAAAAAGCCTCAAAAGTACATTGTGTTGTCCAAAAGCAGCAATATTTGTCGAACTGCTGTCATTCTATGTGGGCGGAGTAATACACAAGAGTGAGGCTGTAATTTTGCGTTCAAGCCAGACACAGAAGAAGCATCAAGCGCGAGTAATTTACATGTTAAGTCAAGGCAAAAAAGCAAATAGACATCCTGCGGCACAATTCGCGCAAATGGCACACTTAACTCGTGTATCGCTTATTTTGCGCGAAACGCTCAAGTACAAAAATCTGAACGTTAGCGGACCTTGCTCTTGTTGTATACTTATATACATATATACATATACATATATATATATATATATATATATATATATATATATATATATATATATATATATATATGTGTGTGTGTGTGTGTGTGTGTGTGTGTGTGTGTTTGTGTTGGTGCGGTGGATAGCGGAGGGGTGTCACTGAAAAAGTGAGCGGGGCGGGGTTGTAGCAGATGTCAGTGAAGATGGGTTGCAGCACAGGTGTCAAACTCAGATCCAAAAAAGCCGCAGCTCTGCACAGTTTAGTTCCAACCCTAATTAAACACACCTGATCAAACTAATTGAGTTCTTCAGGCTTGTTTGAATCCTATACAGGTAAGTGTGTTGGAGCAGGGTTGGAACTAAACTGTGCAGGGCTTCGGCCCTCTAGGAATTGCGTTTGACACCCCTGGGTTGCAGGGTCAAGGAATAAAGAGGAAGTGAACAGCGGATGAGGGAGAAGGGAGGTTGAGGAGGGGCATTGTTATAATGAGGTGCCTGCGTGTTCTGGCACAAGTTAAGCCCTGATAATACTACAAAAAAGTGGTCACTGTAGTATAAACTTTGTTCCCAAAGATTTTGCTGAGATTTTCTATCAAGTTTACATCAGGACTCTGGGCTGGCATTTTTATTTACATGGCAACAGTGTTTTTGGGACTGAAAATGCATAAATTTGAAAAAAAGTGTACGTTTTTTAAGACTCTGCCATTGTCTTGTATGTGTACACATACATATATAGTGGAGTATGTGGTACTGTTTCTAACACTTCTGTTGCAAAGTGTGGATTTACCTCACATTACAAGCCAAAAGGGAGATGCATCATGCACAGCAAATTCTATCTTCACTTTCCTACAGGTACTGTTTTCTAACAAGGTGATCAGACAAATACTGGCCTGGCATATACAATACATAATTGTTAGCCATTTTTACATGTGTACAATTGGAGAGATTTGAAAAGGATAATTTTTTTATCAAGGGAAAAATGTTTTGGTGTTTTTTGGCTACATTGTGTGTAAAGGTAGTCTGAGTGATGAATGCTGGTGCCCTATCTTGTCTAATTGTCCTACCTCCCATTCAAAAAGTATGTAGCACATTTTGATTATGCAATATGCTACCCATCAGATTTTGCTACTAGTGTAAATTCAATGTGGAGTAGTGTGATATGAAGCTGTAATATCACCCTAACTTACATAATCCCTAACCCCAACCTCAGAACCATTCAAATACAGTGTTGGTAGCATAATCTGATGGGTAGGATAAAATGTTAGGACACCTATTAAGAACCACATGTACCTACAGTATAGGAGCTTCTGATAATTGTTTGCATTCACTCTGTCATAATATTTTATAAAATGCCAAACTCTTGCTACAGAAAACACCACCAAACCATTGCATCTAATTTTCATCAGTGCTCTTTTGTAAATACTGTATGTTATTAACATTTTTTAGGCTTGTATACAGTGCTGTGTATACAGTGCTCAGCATAAATGAATACACCATAAATTAATAGTTTTATCAAATTCTCAGTAAATAGAGCCAATATAGTTCGATGCATTTAAACACATTTTCATTTTTTAATGAACAGTTATGCCTATTAAAATAAGAGTTTGGTCACCTAACATCTTTCGGGATAGAAAGATAATTCAATTAAACTCAAAAAAAAAAAGATTGAAAAAAATGACAAATTACAAAATTTCATCAAAATTTAATGTTTCTTATGATTGTTCCTGTTAATTAAATGTTTAATTAATAATTTCCAATTTGGGTGTAGTAATTTCTGGAATGTGACCTTTATTCATTCATTCATTCATTCATTCATTCATTCATTTATTTATTTATTTATTTATTTATTTATTTATTTATTTATTTATTTATTTATTTACTTATTTATTCATTCATTATTTATTTATTTATTTATTTATTCATTTATTCATTCATTCATTCATTCATTTATTTATTTATTTATTTATTCATTCTTTTATCTATTTATTTATTTATTCATTTATTCAATCTTTTTATTTATCTATTTGTTTATTTATTTATTGTTAGATTTGTTTCAGTTTGGGCTTTGACACTGATTAATCTGATGCATATACACAAATATATTATTGTAAAGCATCCTATAGAAGCTATTTGTGAGATGGTGTACTCAGTCATGCTGTAATATGCTTAAAATGCTCTTTTATATGTGATGTTTAACCTAATATTTTATGTTATGTATATATTTATTAAAAATCCTTGATTATTTTGTTTAATCTTTTGAATAAATCATTAAAAATAAATATTTGATGAATAATTGCGGATTATCTTGGCAGTACCGCAGCTTCCCGCATCAGACCCTGCTGTTGCCACGGAAACCACAGCCACTCTGCAGACGGCGGAAGCGTCACACACAATGCCTCCTTCCGTTGGTCCAAACACTCAGGAAGAGCAGACCTGCAAGCAGTGGTTCTCGAGTCTCAGCCTATCAGAGGGACCAACCATTCACATCCAGATAGCAGGTTAGACTGCACTTCTCTTCTCAAGAGCATTAATCTGATTCTCCCTGATTGCTTGAGTGACACATTTTTCTAGTTTCTGACAGCAATTCATTACTCAATATGTCAATATGTAAAGCAGATCCTGGGGATATGGTTTCTGTCATTCACGGGCAGCACAGGCTTCCCACATGCTAACACAAATGCTTACGTTTTATTGGAGAGTACAGTTTCCATTGCCATGGTAATGCACTCCAGGGGCTGTTTCTATAATAGGCTGAGTGGATTTCTGGCCAGTGCGTCTTCATTATTCTTCACAGAGCAGTGAAAGCAGAGTCATGCTGTCTGCATGTGCTGTACACCCCACATCCATTACGGATGGCATACATTTCCATCATGGAGGTTAGAAGGGTGGTGGTAAAATGCTGCTATAGTGCACTGTTGAATATTAATTATCAAGATCTGCCAAAACCTACATTATAGGCATTATTCACTTAGCCAGTGCTCTTACAGCAGGGCCTATGAACACTGGTCAAGCAGACACAAGTATAACCTGTCAATGGTAACAATGACTAAAAACATGATATTGTACACTACCTGACAAAAGTCTTGTAGTCGATCAACAAATAATAGCTTTACTAGTAGCAGAAGGTAGATTTTTCAGGTGAATAATTTGCTATCCCAACCATCACAAATACTGCAGAAGACCTATTGGAACATTCATGGACCCAAAATTCTCATAGAAATCAGTCAAGTTTGGTGCTCCAGGATTGGCCAGCCCAGTCACCAAACTTGAACATTATTGAGCATGTTCGGGGTAAGATGGAGGAGGCATTAAACATGAATCCAAAGAATCTTGATGAACTCCTGCAAGAATGCTTCTTTGCCATTCCAGATGACTTTATTAATAAGTTATTTTAGTCATTGCAGAGATATATGGATCCAGTCATCTAAGCTTATGACTTTTTATTCTATACTTTACATTGTTTCTGTTAAGAGACAAGACTTTTGTCTAATCAAAGTCTGACCTAACTGTCCTAATTAAATCATTAAAGATCAAGGCATTCTCATATTTAATTTAATTTTATTTTATTTTATACAAAACCATGGGTCTATTTGTCAAGATAGCCAACAATACAATTTACAAATACAAATACAAATTAGATATATATTTCTATTTTATTACAACAATCATTTATTCTACATTGTCGTTAGTAATATGAATTGCTAAGAACTTGGACAACATTGAAGGCAATTTTCACAAATTTTAACAAATTTCAGCTTTGAAATAAATTCAATTCAATATCAAAATGGTTCATGATCACCTTTCTTAAGACACTGAATTATAAAAGATGCTGATATTTGAGAACACCAAAATATAAATACCCATGACCCAATCAAAACTTTTTATATATCTTCTAGACACGCCCATTACTTTTGATTGGCTGCAAGTGCACTGTGGGACACTATGTTCAAAAAGTAACTTAGGGTACCACCTTGTCTGAAAAGTATGCTTTAGATAACTAAAATGGAATTGTTATTTTAAGAACTGCTAAATTAGAGAACCAAAATAGCATCACTGTGAAAAGTCTGTGTTAGTTCCTTTTATTTTAATAGTGTATGTTATCAATTTACAGTGGTATTACTATATGTCATGGTTTCAACTTGACTGAACTTACACCAGGCAGATGTATGTAGATATTTGTGAGTGAGTGTATTGGTATCCTCAGTCTAAGTGCCTCTGTCTTCTTTAATGGGGCGGGTACAATTGTGCAGCTTTATTTTTGGGTTGTTGGGCCAGGGGGGCTGCTGACAGAGCAGACCCAGCCAAAAACAGCTTTAGGGGTTTCAGAGATCAGGGACACATAGACACAGACAAGAGAGGAATCGGTCCATGAAGACTCCAAAATGAGCAGTAAAGGTGAGGGTAAGATACTGGGCTTTTTACATTGTTGGGTCAAATCCTATGCTGTCATTTCAGTCAGGTTTATATATTTGTTTTGATTATGTGACTAAGATATACATGTATGTGTGATATTGCTTGGGACAAAGCACTGTGTATGAATGAATGAAAATGTAGTAGCATTCATTCAAATATAAGTATAAAATCATGTATTTACACCTATATAGTAGGTGTTTATGTGTATACAATGTGTACTTTGTGGGCATAATGATAATTTACCTTTAAATAGGTAGGAGATAGGAGGATATTTATTTTAAGTAAAATATAAACCTATGTAAATTAACAACATGTCTATTTGAAATATAATGTTTATATGACTGTTGAACTAATACCAAATCAACTGAAGTCCCACATAGCAGTGCTTTTTTCACATCTCTCTTGTTTAACTCTGGCATCTTTCTTCAACTATAATCAATATTTCAAAACCATTTATTTATTTATTTAGCAAGTAGCTTTGCAATAACTGAGATAATGTAATGAGACGGTCATTATCTTAAGACAAAAACCCTTCAGGATTATACTTTGTCTGGATTGTAATTCAGCTGTTATTCAATAAAACAAGTTATCCTTTTATTGCTAACTTTTCTGATCAAAAGTGAACACTGAACATATATCTGTTAATCATTTTTATTAAATCTGACATTGCAGAACTTCTTTGGTTAACTAGTAACATCATTAGCTTTGCGTTTGTTTACATACAGATAGCACTATTGCTAAAGCTGCGCAAGTTTGCTAAGCTACCTACGTCAAACAAGTCAGTCAGGCCACCTGGCCTGCCATGACAATAGACAGTTGTGTATGAAGCTAAAGGACTCTTACACATTACGTTCAGGTTAAAAATAGTCCATCCACCTGCTGCTAGGGCCACCATTCAGCGCTGACATGAATGGCATTAGCGCTGAGGTAATTCTGAATGGATTAGCCACGGTATTAGCCTGTGAGCTATCGCTCTGCTTATACTAGCACCTTTAGACGACATGCAGAGAGTTTTCCCTGTGAATGAAACCCCTTTAAGAACACTAGGAAGTGTTTTTGATTGAGAAGTCTTTAAGTCTAGTAAGTCTTTACTGAGAGCAATGTTTTGTACAGTTTTTGAAGCCCAGAGATGATTGATAGGCAATGGGATGCAGGTTGAGTGCTGTCAGCAGGTGCTTAAAGAGACCACTTTAAATTCTTAGTTTCTCCTCCTTCCTACAGTGACTAAAAATAGCCGAGGTCAGCCCAAAAGACGCCTTGCAGTTTGTCTCCCTGTCAACAATAACTTAAACCCACCCACCCACCCACTCATTTAGCCTCAATGGCTCGGTTCTGTCTTGGATGATTCATATCTCGATAGAAGTTTTGATTCAGGCTTATATGCTGCATTCCCTGCTTATAAAAACTATTGAAACATTACAGAATTTATGGAATTTGTGTAAATTATTTTGGTTTTAATGGAAACTGCATTGGTTTTTTAGGTTTCTACTGGTATTTTTGTCCTCTATTGGTGGCATGTTAAAACCAAATAAATCTTAATTAAAAATGTCCCAAAACACACTCCAATCCATAAAAATGTATAGGACTTAATGGTTAAAATGCCATGGTGTTTAATGTTTTTAAAGATGTTTGTAGTGTAATCCATTAGATTCTGTCACAACCACCAGCGATCTACAGGGCTCAGCATAACTGAGTATGCCAAATTTTGAAAGCGAATATTTCTATCCCTTAGGCAATTTCTATTAGTGCATTTAAACAAAACAGATTTATTAAACATAATTATGAAAATAATATTTTAGTCACCAAACATATTGAGAAATTGAAAGATAATATAATTAAATTCAATCAATATATTACAACAAATACAATCTACAAAATTTTAACCAAATTTATTTATTTATTATTTTATTTATTTATTTATTTATTTTTGCTTCTCTTGATTTTTTAAATTTGTATTTAATATTTTTTTCTATAACATATAAAATTGGGTGTACTTTTTATCATAAATTATTTTGTTAGGTAAGCTCCAGATTTGGCTTCAGTACTGACTAATCTAAAGTATATGCACAAATATAATATTGTATAGCTTCTTATTTAAAATTAATTAAATTTAAAATTTATAAGAATTTGTAAGGGGTGTACTTATATATGCTGAGCACTGTAGTCCACAGAGACTGCTGGAGAAATCTGCCACCAAAACAACTACAAATCCCATTTTACCTGTTCATACACACCTATTCCGCATCATGATGACATACACACAGACACGCTGCTGAAGCTTATCAGTAAGTCATTAATTTGACTATAAATACACTTCTCCTCGTAACACACATTGCTGAGTCTTGCTTTAACCCATGTAACATTACAAAGCCGTGTTCCTTGTTTGTCTTGCTGTGTTTCAATCCTTGCTTTAACTGTTTCGACTCTTTGTTGCCTACCCTGATCTTTTGCCAATACTCTGATCACGTATTTTTTATTACCTTTATGCTACTGTTTTGCACCTGTTTTGACCATTACCTGTCTCACTACTCTTATTATTAAAGAACTGCATGTGGATCCACACCTCCATTGACAGCATCCTTACATTACACAATGTTTTATAATGGTTCTATGGTTTTTGAATTACTTTATTAATATTTTTCACTGCAACATTCTGCTTCGGCATTTGTTTGCAATAATTTAATAGTTAAAATGGAAATTATATTGGTTTTAATGAAAACTGTAATTGTCCTATGGGTTTACTAGTAATTATTTATCTTCTGTTTGTGTCATTTTGAAACCAATAAATACTACTAGAATATCACACTACTAGAATGTCACAAAACACACAGGTTGTAACAGTTATAACCTGTTCAACATAGTTCAACATTAACTAATGCATTTTTAAAATCGAAAATTGAATTTAGTTAATGCACAGTGAGTTAACACTAACAAGCATTATTTTACTTAAATAACATTAATGCTAACAAATACCATACATACCATAATAAATGTAGTACTAATTGCTTGTTCATGTTAGTATATACAGTAAATGAACTATAATGTTAACTAATATAATATTATTTTAAAGTGTTACCAGTATTTG